TAAGAGGAAAGATTAAGATCTCTCAAATTGTTTCTGTTAGAAAAAAGAAGAGTTAGAGGGAATCTGATTGAGGTGTTTAAGATCGTAAAGGGAATTGATAGTGTTGATACTTCATCTTTTTCATACTTAACAGTGACAATAGTAGGACTAGAAGAGACAAGTATAAATTTTGCCAAGTATGAGTCATCTTCAGCTAAGACAGTTTTATTTTTCTAACAGGGTGGTTGGTCTCTGGAATGTGTTGCCTTCAGATGTTGTGAAGGCAGTAAATTTATGTTTGTTTAAGAGAAAGCCTGATAATTTTATGAATAATAAGGGCTGGCTTTAACATTTTTTGTTATAATTTATTTATTTAATAGTTTTAGTTTAGTTTAGAAAATGGGACAGCCGAGATGGACCAATAGGTCCCTAGTTATCGTAAAACATTATGTTATGTTATTATGTTATATTACAATATTTATACAGGAGTCATATAATTATTATACAGAAATACTGTCAAAAATTGTGAGAATGAGTAATGACTACTATTTTACAATATCTACATAAATTACATGAAAGTGTGATGTTTGGTAATTATCCTGCAATATTTCACAAATTATGAGAATAAGTTTTAAGATTATTAGTTTAGAAAATACAAGCTATGTGAGAAGGGGTATATATATATTTTTGGCAGTCTGTCTGTACATCTGTGTTTAAACTGTTAAACTTATTACAGCCTAGCCAACCTTTACTATACTACTTTGATGAGTTCAAATTTTTTCTAGGAATATGACAGACTGATTACAAAAAGTTATTCAAAATACCTAATGGTTATAACAGATAATTTCCCATTTCAGGATCTCCTTAATTATTCCATCAAATGGAAATAAGCGTTAAAACTTTTTCTGATCTTATCAGAAAATAGTGTGAAATAAAACCCACATGATGAACACCCATTTGTTTGTGTTTCCTGCAGATGCAGGGTGGTTAGTAAAGTTTATGTGAGAATCACTACAACATGAAAATGTGTGATTAATAAACAAATACCCTACTTAATTTTAAATTTCTGTATCTAACAAGATACTTCACCTCTAAAGAAACAAAATTATTACTGCATGTACAATTGATAAAAAAACTACCACTTTCATTCTCTGAAATAAGAATAAGTATTATAACATAAATTACACAACCAAGTAAGTAATTTTTCCAAGTGCTTGATCTCAAACAAGCACAATTAAAGATAAAACAATATCCTAAAACCAACTTCTTTGTTTTTACAAGCCACTTCTATCTGAGTATAACTTCTTTAAGGATAAATGCATATACCTCAAATCTTTCAGCTTCTAACAACATAAAACTACTTACATTTGAGGAGAAGACATTTTCCTATTTCTAGTCTTTCCTCTAAGTGTGTCCTGTCGCACTCTCACTCTCTTCAGTTTGTGACTTTTAGTTAGAGATTCTTTAAGTGAAGGAGACACATGAATGTCATCCATAATTCTGCTCTTTCCTGGAAAGAAGGAAATAAATTTTGTTTCACATCATAGCATCATTTTAACTGATTGAAGAAATTTCTATAAAAGTAGTTTTGCTGATACCTTGCTAATATCCACACACATATAAACTGACACTTTTTGCTAAAATCAAAATACCCGCATTTTGTATGTTTTTTTTTTACAATTTACAGAAATAAATGCATTTCTGTCAATGTCTATTGCTAAAAGATATATACATGTTACCCTGCTTTTTTATGTGTGCAATGTTTTAATTTCTATGGACCAATCAGAAATAAGCATGAACCCTTGTTCATATAAAATACTTAACTATAAATCTGTGGGAAACTTGAATGAAACTATAAAGTTATGGTGATGTAGTTTCTATGCATCTCCAGAAACTGGTGCTCCTGATGCAAAGATAATAAAATATTTAATACATTCGTGTGTTTCAAGTGTACTTGTGTTCATCACCATCAGAAACACTTTGTTTGTGGCACAAGTTTGAATCGTTATACATGTTTTGTGCTCCTAGCAGACATAAGTACCAACATGAACACCTATCTTAAAATGTGCGTTAATAATTATGCTATACTATTGTATATTTTTTAACATTTACAACTTTTTAATAGTAGTATTAGTAGTCAGGTACAAAGATATAGACTTACAGTTACACGATAAATAGTACAATAGCACCCCTTTCCGGCTTTAGGCCTAACAAATGTAATGAAACATCACGTTTATCTGTAATTGTTTTTTGTTTTTCACACTTAATATAGTTATTCAAACACTTTTCAACGCATTTTGAGACACCTTATGGTCCGTTAACGTGAGAATGAATAAACCAAACGTATATTATTATTATTAATTATTACTTTGTATAGTGATCATTCTGCCCTGATGGCTGTTACTGTTAAACTTCAATGCAATCTTTTATATGTTGTAAAAAATTAAAAATCACTTGAAATTTTTTGTCCATCTTTAGTAAAGGTACTTAGGAATGTCGTTACCACCAACACTCTTACCTCCACTACTAATGCCGCTCAAACAATCTTGGGAATTTTTGGCACGCATAGAAAACTGATGCATCAAAGATCTGCCGCTTTGAGTCGCATACCAAACTACGCCAAACTCTAAAACGTTCCTAAAAGACCTCCCCTAGGAAAATTGCGCATTCCGGTATAAAAGCTAGAACCTTTATTTTACTTCACACAGACTAAGAAAAGTGTGATCAGAAAAATAAATAGGGTTACTTACATAGCTTATCATAAAAAATAACATAAATAACCTGAACAAAAATGGACGTTTATCAAAGGCAATACACTGAAATCGTTGTATATGTTCGATCTTTTTTTTTTGTATATAAGAGCAATAGACATTTTTTAAAGATATAGTTGAAAAGGATCGCATTTTATATAATAAATACAAAAAGTTTATTTTCGAAAAACCAGAGTTCAATGCTTTCCAAACCATGTAACATAAAGGTTTATATATGTGTAATGTGTCCCATTACTATACAACGAATTTCAATGTTTTATGTGAATTTTTTGGGGAAGAAACATCACCAAAAATCTGAGATGGATTAATGATATAAACATAAAATAATAAAAATAACAAACTGAAAACAACAGAGAGTTAAGACAGTAATTTTTTATAAGTATTTAAACCAGGTTAGTGGTTTCATCTGACAACTTTTGCTTTCCAAATAAAATACTCATAAGCTAGCGGTTTTAATCTAAAGAGATATGCCTACTTCAAAAATTACCAGTTGTCTCAAAACACAGTAAAAATGTATATATTGACAACTTTTGGAATATAAAATCGAAGTGCTTGCTAATTATTTTACTATACATTAACCACGAAAAGTTACCAAATCCACTACGAGTTTAGAATGTTGTCTAAGTTTGTGGTCTAGGGGCATCAAAGACAAATTCCCGTAATTTCGACACTTATATTTGCAAAGTTTATATTTCTTGCCTCAAAAACTTCTCACACAATATTCCTAACAAATAGCCATAATTAGATAGCAACACAGACAGACCAATTACCTATGGTTGGTATACATAATGAACTGCTAAGGCAGAGTCTATCAAAATAAGCCAAATTAGTTCACCATAAAGCAGAAAATCTTTTTTTTCCGAACTCCATTAAAACTCATAGTAATTTTTTTTTAGGTGACTGCATCAGTTATGTAGATATTTAGCTGTTAAAATGAGACTATTGACTATAACTTATCACATACTTAAGCGAATTATTGTGGCGGCATCTATTGGTGTATTACGAATCTATATTTAAAAGGATGTTATTTAAAAAGTTATCACACTAAACTGTACTGGTTTTCTTGACTTTGTTGGCAAATGCAATGAAACTGAGATAATGTTTTAATGCAAAATAACATTTCTATGTTCTTTGAAAAAGAAGTTATTCCAAATGATATAGTTGCATGAACAAGGAATCAGTTTCTGCAACCATAGAATTATAAAGTTGATAACTTCATGCATAATTGTGTATATTTCAAGTTTGGTCCAGCAAAACGCAAGTCAACGTATGCATGAATTTCTATAATAATTATAGTGACTTTTATACATAAAAATTAAGAGTCAATTTTTATCCTAAGAGGAATATAAATTGCATATACAGGAGAATATAATGATATTGCTAATGGTCATTTCGAATTTATCTCACACGTAAATGCATATGAAACTCGTTAATCAATTTGTATTTTATTCGTGTTCTGGCTTTAAAATTTATTATGTTTCGCATACTGATTTAGTCATTATATTCCGAGTGTAAATAAAGGAAAATCTTGCATATGTCAACTAAATTTTACAACTTTTATTCTTCTTTATAAAGCAATCAGTTTTGTCTTATTATTTAATTCTCTCTATCAATACAAATGAATTGACTTAAACAATTTAATATTATTCTCCTCTTCTGCGGGCCTGGCATGGCCAGGTGGTTAGGGCGCTCGACTCGCAATTTGCGGGTTCGAATACCCGTCCCACCAAAAATTCTAGCCCTTTCAGCCGTGGGACGTTTTAATATGACGGTCAATCCCACTATTCGTCAGTAAAATAGTAGTCCAAGAGTTGGTGTTGGGTGGTGATGACTAGCTGCCTTCCCTCTAGTCTTTCAGTGCTAAATTCGGGACGGCTAGCTTTGCGCGAAATTAAACAAAAAGACAATTCTTCTGCAGTCAGCAATATGAACCACAGCTGAACGACGGATAAGAACGCGCGTATCACTTGCCAAGCGCGAATGGTTTATGTGTGATGGCAGAACTAGTGTCATTCCTGACATTCTTACCACAATGCAACGGCATTCTAAGAATGCACAGGCCACAACACCCGTGGTCGTCTAGGAAATAGACAAACAAAGAGGCTTGCGGCACAACCGCCATTTAATACTTCTTACCCTGAACCCCAATGTCCTGGTTCAATAAGCTAGTGTATAAAATTCTGTATAGACACAGCAGAAGAATATATTTTGCTATCACATATATAAACATACCTTAAGACTCAAAACACATCTTTATATTAAGCTACATATTGCTCTCTTTAATATCAAAATACACTTTAGAAGCCCCCGAGTTGCACAGCGGCATGTCTACGGACTTACAACGCTAGAATCCGGGTTTCGATACCCGTGGTGGGCAGAGCACAGATAGTCCATTTAAATCATACTTTGAATCATTTATTTCCTTACTTTGCTGAATGGCCAGACATCATTTGCTTTTTACGTTATTTATTAGAAGTAATATGCTGAATCGAACTCTTTATTTGTAAAATAATTCGACCAAAGTTTTGTCACAAATCCTAATTTTCTTCCATATACACAGAGTGCTGTATGTACTTATGAACTATCCTAAAATAACAGTATTTCTTTGTGTCGCGATTCTTTTTTCAGCCATATAGTTTGTTTAGGATACCGAACATTATAAGGCGTAATTTGAATGACGTGTTTACTATCACATTTCAAACTTTTAGTACCAGTGATGAATAATTTATTTCTATTCAAAGCGCCAAATTTCTTTCAAAGAAAATGCGAAAGGAACATATAGTCAACAATAACAAAAAAATAATCAAAGAGTTACTGTCTAATATTTCAGCATTAATTAGAACTGACAACTGCTTAATTAACGTGTTAGTTTATTAAGACTATTAGAAATATACGCTGTTAAGCCTAACTACTAAAACTGGGCTGAGCATTAGGTGTAATTGTGTGAATATACTGCAAACTTTATGATTCTTTTAAAGTGTCATGGTCTATTTCCTTAAAAACTCGTTCAACCGAACATACGATACAGTATAATGAACAAAAACAAACAAACAGATTTTACAAACGAAGCAAAATAAGACACCGAATTCCAGTGGGGAAAATGTAGATGTATAGATATCCGACGTAACAAAATGCTCGCATCTCACAACTATTACGAATATTTATGAAGAAATTAACAGTAATTCGTAACAAAAAAAAGAACATTTTTAAACACTGTTCATAGTCATGAAAACACAGTGCAATGTCTGATAGTACTAATTCTTAATAGTTACTAAACTTTCTATTTAGATATCGAAATAAGAACAATAAATCAGTGATCTGTGTGATATTAAATCGAACTAGGACTGAAAATAGTTTTTTATCATATCTTTCTTTATATTCTTTGTTTTAGCGCAAAACCACACATCAAGCTATCTTCGCTCTGTCCACCGCAAGTAACTAAACGATGGATTTTAGCGTTATAAGTCTTTAAACTTACTGCTGACCCACTAGGAGACTTCTTTACATATAAATGATGTTTTATTGCTCTTATAACAAAACTGTATAGGACCAGTACAGAAAGATTCGATAAAAAATATATCATCATCCCTAATACGATGCAATATCACACAAACTATCAATCTGTGCATCCCCTTTGCCAGCATACGTGTTATTTTTCATAAGAAAAAGGAATGGTCTTTCTGACCAGTATACTACTTGAAATATTCCTGCTTTATACACACTGATATGGATAGAAGCCTCTGAAATTAAGTGTACATGATTCTTCTTTAGCTATTTTAAAATGTCTAATGTTAAGGTATGTGTCATTTTAAAAACAATGCTAGGAACAATCCAAAAATTACTAACATTTTATTTGCTATAACGTTATCCTTTGACTCAGAATTACAGAAACGTAATCAGGTGATCATACCATAGCTTGCATCAAGTCGGGTTAAAATCTATCAAAATGTTTTAGGAAATGTGAGTAACACAGCTAGAAACGTGTAAAAACATTCATTACTCAATTGTCGAACGGGACTAACACAAACAATACCTACTGTAAAATGTAGAACACTAAATTACACGTCTTAGGAATTACTTTGTTTTAAATTTTACACCTAGTTTAGGAAATAATCATAGTAAAAACTTTATGTCAATATTTAAAACTTTTGAAAATACAACTAGAATCATGACAAATAGAATATTTATTTTAATGTGTGCAGTAAATCAAAAGAAAACAGCCTACGAGGCAAGGTTGAGTGACGTTTGATTGCACCGTTATTTGACGTCACGCTAATCTAACACAAAAGCAGGTTGACAAGTTGTTTATACCGTTTAAGGCGACTGAGGATACAGTACAAAAAAAAAACAAAAAAAACTAGCTAAAACTTTCTCATTAACACATTTAAAACACTTTCTAGAACATTAGAATGTAAAACGTAAATCATATATAATTTCACAGAATGATATCAAAGTCCCTGAAAATTTTGTCTAAAGAACAAACCATTACCAGACTGCGCACACAATTTTCTTACAAATACCTGCTTAGTTAAAATAATTATCCAACTTTATCGCTCACTATTAATTATGAAGATCAAAATGTATAACAAATTCATTGGAATCATAAAGTAACACATAAGATAAGACTAATCGGTAAAACGGCAGGGCCACAACACTGCAAATAACGCAGGCCTAGTTTATGTCGAACAGCTACAGTAATTTACTTAAATATTAACTACTGTTTAGCTGAGTTTCTGCACAATGAGTGAATTTATCAGCCCGACACTAACTAAAAAAAAAAAAAAATACACCGGTGTATGAATCTAATTGAAAAGTGGTTTACTCTTTTTAAACATAATGAAACAGTTGTTTACTAAACCAGTTTATACACAGAGTTATGTGTCGACAGGGTCAGACTAATATGATCCTCTTTAGTTATCGACTATAACTCTGTCTTAGATATAGTTCAAAAAATCATTCACAAGATCACGGTGTATCTTACACTTACAATGGTCATCTACGTGGACTAGTGTTTATACAAAATACTCAGTACAAGACAACAGATGCATATTTTGTATACAAAGATTGGACAAAACAATGAAGTACAGAAAGGTTCGTACCAAACGTGGGTTTACTTGGTCAATCAACCATTTTCTACTACTTTATTTTAGTTACAGGCAATTTTAATTTTTTATCAAAATTTCTCATTATCTCGTCAAATTTTCATCTTTAGTACTGAAAACCATGTAGCATCTCTACGAATTATACACATTTTATATAAATTTAATATTTTGATTGGATTTATAATATCATCATTTTATACAGTAATAATATACATAAACTTGTCTTTTTATCGGAATAACTTTCCTATTGTTCAAATCTTGGAAAACAATTGTTTTAAGTTATAGTTGGATATCACACTAACTAATAAAGTAATATGAACACATTATAAAGGTTGTTAGGTACTGTCTTTTCTTAACTATAGCACTTTAATTCTAAGTTCTGATGACCCCGAACCTGTTAACAAACCACTGCTACCTCATATTCAACTTAAAAATTCACAACATTCTATCTTAAATAATTTATTGGAATAACAAGTTCAGAACTAACAATAAATCTACAGAAAGAATGCGGCTACCTTCTTGAACGTTCAAATTTTAATCAAATTATCTTACCTTTCATGTCGCTTTGAGAAGTTTGAGATTTAGACTTTCAATGTTTTTTGGGGTAAGAAATATACCCGTATATGTGCCTCCAAAATAAATTCGTTTTATCAAGTTTTTATCATTCAGATCTACACACAAAAAAGTGTAAGAGGTGATGGTTCCGCTGCTAATGTTAAATTGCGACTTACTGAACAAAACCTTCACGACTGTGAGAAAATGTACCATGTTCACAACAAACACAAAGGTAGCTAGTCAGATTAACTGACTCACGCGCACCAATCTACATCGAGTGTGCGTCCCTAACCTTATTCAGGACTTGCGCAGGAAATGAGTTTTGGTCAGCGCCGTGAGGAGTAGTCCAGAACAGAATAATCATGCCCAGAAAAAATACACTAGTTCGGGCACTAAATAAAGGCAAAAGTTATAATAGTACTATGGTAAATCCAAGATTCAGGAAAGGAAAAACAAAAGCATCACTATATAGTATTCTGTTACTTCTCTAAAGGTAAAAACGTAGACAAAATCAAGGAAAGCACAAAACTTCATTTCACACAAAAAGTTAACACAACGTAGAACGAATACCCGCAGTATAAAGTACACACACACACACACAAAAGGGAAAATCACCCTGCAACAATATACATATATATATATATATTGTAACCACGTCAACCCACAATATATTAAAAAGTATGTCGTGGTTACGCTAAAGTCAACTATCATTTTCAGGTAGTTCAAAACTATGACATTTTTTAACGGATAGAATAATTAAATGAAACTTGTTTTGTTTACTGTATTGCACATGACATGTAGGTGAGAACGTGCATGCATGTAGATGTATACAGAAGTAGAAAGGTAAGTATAAAACTTATTTAAAAAACTAGTTCATCACCTAGGAGTACAACAGTGAACAGTTGAATTTCTTTTCTTTTCTTGAGAAGGCACAAATCTTCGAAGCTAAACGATAAACATAAGTAATCTCGACAGACTAACTTTTTTTTTACTGTATGAGATGAAGTTGTTCGAGAGGTTGTATCTTTACTATAAACTTGCATAAACTGCAAATAAGAAGAAAGCAAGCATCCACTGAATAGTTACACTTTCAAATACATTATCAGTACAATTCTTGTCATAACACACTTCGTATAGCATCATCAACGTCATGCAGCATGAATGTTTAAGTGTATGGTAACCAGTACAAAAACTTGTATTTATATTAGATAGTGCTAACAATACATAAATTTTATTGTTTAGACTTCTCACCACACATTTTTGTTAGCCATAAGACAGTATCATAACAACCACTGTTATCATAACTTCTAGGTAATTATAAAAAAAAAAACACGAAAGCTTACCAGTATATTTGTTATCAAACAACAACAAAGATTCTCACTGGTCACAGCCTGACCAAACCATAAAAACAAACAACAGTAACAGGTTTTCCATATTACAGTCTGACTAAACTCTCAGACAAACAACGGTACAATAGTTACAACTTGACAAAACACTATAACAAACGGCACTACAAGTTATAATATCTACAGTATTACCGAGGCCTTAAAGAGACAATAATAGTACAGGTTTTCAATAACCACTGTCTGCTAAAATTCTGTAACAAACAGTACAAACGAGGTGTTAATTACAGGACAGTTCATTACCCTCCACCGACATGTCATATCTTCCAGTTACCTTCCTTATTACCATCCACTGACAGGTCACATCCTTCAGCTAATTACAGAGCACTTTATAACCATACACTGACCGGTCACATTCTCTGGCTAACTACAGGAAACCTTATAACCATCCATTGACAGGTCACATCTTCCAGCTAATGACAGGACAGCTTATTATCATCCACTGACAGGTCACATCCTCCAACTAATTCCAGGACAGCTTATTGGCATTTAGTGACAGGCCACATCTTCCAGTTAATTACAGGACAGCTTATTATCATCCACTGACAGGTCACATCCTTCAGCTAATTACAGAGCACCTTATTACCATACACTGACCGGTCACATTCTCTAGCTAACTACAGGAGACCTTATAACCATCCACTGACAGGTCACATTCTTCAGCTAATGATAGGACAGCTTATTAACATTCATTGACAGGTCACCTCCTCCAACTAATTACAGGACAGCTTATTATCATTCATTGACAGGTCATCTCCTCCAAATAATTACAGGACAGGTTATTATCATTCATTGACAGGTCACATCCTCCAAATAATTACAGGACAGGTTATTATCATTCATTGACAGGTCACATCCTTCAGCTAATTAGAAGACAGATTATTAACATCTACTAAGAGGTCAAAACAGGGCCGGCGCGATGTGTTTTTCAGCCCTGTGCAAACGATGAATGGTTTGCCCCTCTATCCCCGCTCTTCGGCCGTTATAGGACTTCTATACACTTACGCCCATAAGAACCTGCCACCCTGTGCAAATGAACTTGCTGTACTCCCCTCCTGTCGCACCGGCCCTGGTACACATCCTACAGCTAATGACAGGACAGCTTATTACCATCAGCCGACAGGACACATCCTTCAACTAATTACAGTACATCTTATTGCTACACACACTCTTCCTCTTACTAACAGTACAATTAATTAACACCTACCTCAGGTTACACGATACATATAAAAATGTGACAACTTATTACAGCCATTAAAAAAGTTCCTTAGTGGGTCAACGGTAAGTATATAGGCTTACATCGCTAAAATCCGGGTTCGATTCCATATGGTAGAAAGAGCCAGTTAGCCTGTTGTACGGCTTTGAGTTAAAACAAATAAACACATTCACTGTAAAAGTAACAAAAAAAAACAGAAAAAACACCTTATACGTAATAACTGTGTAGCTTATTATCACCCATTGACAAGTCACATCTTCAAGATAAAAACAGTACGTGAATAACTACACTAGTCAGTCTACACATCATTTAGTAAACAATACAAATTATTATACCAAAGTTGGGGAACAGTGTTGGTCTGTTTAAAGTCATTGATAATAATTCTCAACACGTAGGTTCTTTTACTGAACTGGTGAGTATTTAAGATTTCTTATATTTTGTTCCATAGTATTTTGAAATTAATGTTAAGCAATTTTTTTATAGATCCAAAGTATTCCCAGATGGAGCTACAGTACCTCAAAACAATCAGGTCACGTGAGGACGCAGAACTCGTGAGTCATGCTGTAGCGGTCTGGATAATTTTGTTGTTTCTAATTTCAACTTATCGCTTATAAGAAAAATAAAAAGTGGAGCTATTCGGAGCATTTTGCTTTAGTGCGTTTCAGAAATATGGGCCAAGGGTAGAAAAACTAAACATGAGTCATCATAACAGAAATGCCCATGCTTGTTATATCGAAAGCAGAAAAAAAAGGTGTTATAAGGTTCATTTTGGCTTTTATCCAAAATAAGGTCAAAGTTCGGTTCAATCAAAATGCATAGCGCTTATCAGTGTTTCTGTTCATTTTATTCTCTTCTTAGCTTCAAATATGAAGTCTGTTTGATAAAACAAATCACAAATCTAGTATGTTCTTCCTTCTCAAGCATACCTTGCATTCTTAATAATACCAAAATGCCTGATGCATACTGAATATTAGCCGATACATAGGTGAGTTTAAAGCGTTTATTTGGACATAATTTCTCTTAAAATGTTCAGGGTTCCCTTTATTTATCATATTTCTTTGAAGTCCTTAAAAAGAGAGATAATGTCATCAGGCTCACAACATATCGAACATTTTTTCTGATGTCATATTTATAAATGTACTTAGTGCTAATTCACATGAAAGTTCAATGATAAGCGAAATCAATTTTTGGCCACGTATGAACATTGATAAACGACTTTGTTTTGATCATAATACACAATTATCTTCAAGATAATATACATGACATTGCGGTGATTTTTAAATATACAGTTGTCTTTCATGATAACGTACAAACTATTCCAGTGATTCATAATACACAGTTATCTTCAGTTCTGGCTCCAGCTTTTCTCAACTGGGAAGGAGAGAAGGCAATAACTTGGAGGATAACGATATTTTATTAAGGTAAATCATAATACACGGTTGCTTTAACAATAATCTACACCATATTACGGTGATTCATAATCTACAGTTATGTGTAACAATAATCTACACCCTATTACGGTGATTCATAATCTACAGTTATGTGTAACAATAATCTACACCCTATTACGGTGATTCATGGTGTACAGTTATTTGTTAAGAAATTCCACACTCCATTATTTTAAAATCTTGTATTTAAACAATTCAGATATTAAATATATTATATTATAAATAGTTATCCGTCAAGGTGATCTACACGGTATTGCTGTGATTAAAAATATACAGTTATTGTTTGTTTACATAGACACAGGGCCGTTTTGTCCAATGGGCAAAAGGGGCAGTTGCCCAGGACCCGCCGCCGTCAGCGAACCACTGCGCGCGAGAGAGAGCGCGATGTGATCAGGGGTGGACGTGGGAGGAGCGTCCTTGATTCATTTAATTTTTAGAATAATCCAGTTTTTTATTTTTCCTTTTTTATTTCCTTGTTTTTTATCACTAATAAATTTAGTTTATCAAATTGTACAATATTTTCTTAAAATCAAGGGGGGGTACTTGTTTATACTTTGCTCAGGACCCACTAGTGCCTTAACGCGGCACTGCATAGACAATAAATTACATGTAAACCTCGGATTTAGTAACCCAAAACCTGGTCATAGAAAGTCCAACAGGTTTGCTCCTACCTAATCTCGTTCTGAAAGTAAAGGCTTGAGCAATTTTAAAGCGTGTGTTAAATGACTCATTTTGTTTTTTCTACATTGTGGAACTACTTGTATCAACAATGCTCAAGCTTCAATACATTTCTGGACATTTGACAAGATACTGCTAATTTCAGTAAATGCTAAGACTTGTGAGTAAATGCAATACTTTCTACCAACAAATAATATACTCATATCTACACTAGCAAATGTTATAAGACAAAATTTACTTTATATACCTCTCACCGAATGTTTTCCAAAAACTCACTGCGATCGCTACTTACTGTTATGGAGCACATTGACGTCATTGTCACATTTACCGCAAAAATACCGATTGTTCAGTAATAAGAAATTGACTGGTTGGTTCAGTGGTTCTCAAAGTGTGATTTGCGGGTTGGTTCAAAATGCAAGTCACATCAAAAGCATCGCCATTCTTTCCTTTATTTCTGATGAGTGTTTGTTTGTTGTTTTTTTTGTTGTTGTTTTTTGCGGAGGCAAGCGAAACGAAAGCAGGTGGTCGTGGGGTCTTTTCCCCGCCGAAGTGGTTCGCGGAGGAAAACGTTTGAGAACCAATGGTCTACCTAATGATTGTGAGTCACAATGAATGATACTTTCAAGTTTCACGTATTACTCAAA